AAATCGGACAATTTTTAGCAAAGATACAGCTTACTGAAATTTGGAAACATGTTGGTTCCAAACAAAAATGAAGATTTAAATTAATTTTTGTTTGCTTTGTGGATTATATTTATCGATAAAGTAACATTTGATGTCTTAACCCTTTGATACATTTTTTTTTCTTATTAATTTGGCATTTGATAACTATATTTTTGATAACTTTCCGCACGGGCCTACTAGTTATACTATAGTTTACCGTATCTATCTTTTTGAGGAATATGCTTATTTTATATATGAGTAAACGAATATTTCGCTTATACATCCATTGCATCAAGGAGTGGGATAGCGATCTAGTATGGGAGTTCTCACTTGGTTTTGGCAGTCTATTTAATAGTTTTTGTTATTCCTTTTTATCGAATTGTTTAATATTCAAATTTTATTAATGACAAAGAGGGCAGCACGGTGATGTATGCTGGCCGGGGAGACGGGCGCCTGGAGACAGATACCATTATGAAAGATATAATGCCTGGAGCCGGCCGAACCACTGGCACCCCTCCAACCGGGACTGCGGCAACAGTCATCTAATATTTACATTCTTATCCCACGTCCTCCAACATCTTATTTTTACATCTAACAAAACACCCAATACTTTTTGTTTAAATGGTTTTTGTACACTCTCCAAGTGGAGTGGTTAGTATCTTCGAATGATCCCCTTGGCACCAAATACTTCTTCGGCATTATGTCACTATGCACCAGAAGCTAAGTTAGCTCTTTATAGGTCGCTGCTCGATTTATCAACCACATCGCTATGTAACCGCTCTCTATCGGTCTTTAAAAGAAACTGAAATTTAGTTTTCCCTATTGAGGGCTACTAACTGGAGGTAGATGTCATTCAAGTTTACAAAAGGTTCTAGGTAGGTTTTATATCGAACGTGGTCGATATTTCAACCAGTGTTCATTGAGTTAAAATTCCAGGACTTATAACTTTGACATACTACCTGGACCGGAAAATCCTCCGTATAGCCTAAAAGGCGAGCAAGAATAGACAAAAAAACTAAAGTGTGTGCTTTAGACACGACACGCTAGAAGAAAAAACATCAACAAGGCGAGATTAATAATGTGAAATATAAATTGTAAATAATAGCTCATTATAAACAGGATGAAATGCTCTCGCATACAGTATGCAAAATCGTTATCATTAGATTTTTCCACACTATTTCTTCCTTTTCGCCGATCGAAGACGTCGTGTTAAGATGGAATTTTGAATAATAGTCCATTATAAAGAGGATGAAATTCTGAACAATTCCCTCACTTACAGTATGCAGGCCTGATTTTTAGTTTCTGAGATATTTTAATCCATATCTTCCGTAAAACTCGTTATCATTTGATTTTCCACACTATTCTTCCTTTTCGCCGATCGAAGACGTCGTGTTAAGATGGAATTTTGAATAATAGTCCATTATAAAGAGGATGAAATTCTGAACAATTCCCTCACTTACAGTATGCAGGCCTGATTTTTAGTTTCTGAGATATTTTAATCCATATCTTCCGTAAAACTCGTTATCATTTGATTTTCCACACTATTCTTCCTTTTCGCCGATCGAAGACGTCGTGTTAAGATGGAATTTTGAATAATAGTCCATTATAAAGAGGATGAAATTCTGAACAATTCCCTCACTTACAGTATGCAGGCCTGATTTTTAGTTTCTGAGATATTTTAATCCATATCTTCCGTAAAACTCGTTATCATTTGATTTTCCACACTATTTTCTCCTTTTCGCCTCTCTAACACGGAGTCTTGTTAAGATGCAATTTTGAACAATAGTCCATTGTAAAGAGGATGAAATGATGAACAATTCCCTAGCTTGCATGATGCAGGTCCGATTTTTAGTTTCTGAGATATTTTAATCAATATCTCCCATAAAACTCGTTATCATTTAATTTTTTTCGTTTCAACACTATTTTTTTCTTTTCGCCGCTCTAACACGATGTCGTGTTAAGATGCAATTTTGAATAATAGTCCGTTACAAAGAGGATGAAATTCTGATCAATTCTCTCGCTTATTGTATGCAGGTCCGATTTTTAGTTTCTGAGATATTTTAATCCATATCTTCCATAAAACTCGTTATCATTTGATTTTCCACACTATTTTCTCCTTTTATCCTCTCTAACACGGCATCGCGTTATGATGCAATTTTGAACAATAGCCCATTACAAAGATGATGAAATGCTGAACAATTCCGTGGCTTACTAGTCCGTAGTACAGAAGCCTTTTTATCGAATTGTTAACATCCGCCTGAAACTTCGTAAATAATTTCGTCTCATCGTAATTACAACTATTTTATTTACGAAAACTCTTGGAATTGGGTTTTTTTCAGTCTGGAGGGGCCAAACTTTATATATTTAATTAGGTACTAAAAACTCGTTAATACGTAAGATAATTTGATAAAAAAAAGTCGAGAAAAAAGGTGACTTTCAAAAATATTGAGCCGTTTGGCGTGACCTACATCCCCAAATTTTCAAAATGAAGAGGTTATATAGGACAAACGACCCAATGTTTTTGTAGGCCAACTTTTTTATCGATTTTGTGATCAATTTATCTTAGGATCCAAGTGGAACGCAAATGGTTATTTACGATATTTTAGTACTTAATTAAATAAACAAAGTTTGCCCCCTCCAGATTGAAAACGCCTGAATTCCAAGAGTTTTCGTAAATAAAATAGTTCTAGCTTACGATGAGATGAAACTATTTACGAGGTTTCAGGCTGATGGTAATAATTCTATAAAAAGGGCTCTTTTCCACGGACTAAACAGTATGCAGGTCCGATTTTTAGTTTCTGAGATATTAGTCTCTCCCAACATATAGAAAAGAGGATGGCCCACGGCCGTGAACTCCATATGATATTTGTAGATTTACACAAGACCTATGATTCAGTACCTCTAGCGAAAGTGTGGAAAGCTTTGGAAGCCACATCTATTAAGGGATACCTCATCAGAGCAATTCAAGAGCTCTATAAAATTATAAAGGGGGCTATAAAAATAGGAGATAGAGTGTCTAGAAGGTTCTTCATTAACAAAGGATTGAAACAGGGCTGCTGCCTTTCACCCCTGATTTTCAACATTTATATAGAACAAGCCCTTACAAACTGGAAAACATCGTGCTGTGGAATGGGTGTTGAAATCGGGAATGATGTCATCTACAATTTTCAGTATGCCGATGATCAAGTTATAATCGCATCGGATCCGGATGATGTTAGCTATATGATGAGGAAGTTGCTAGACACGTATTCCAGATGGGGTCTGAAAATCAGTGAAAGTAAAACAGAGTATATGGTTTTCAACGCTCCAAATTTGCCCCTTGAAATTGATGACTGGACGCTAAATGTCAGCCAGCAGTTCAAGTACCTCGGATACTGGTTATCTTCAAAGGGTGGTAGTGAGGTTGATATCGAACATAAAATAAATAATGGGAAAAGAATAATAAGTTCGATAAATTCAACCCTATGGAGTAAAGAAATAAGATTAGAAACTAAAAAGAAGATATACCATTCCTTTGTAGAAAGCGTAGCCACTTACGGATCAGAAGTCTGGACACTGACAAAAAAGTTGGAAAATAAGTTGCTTTCCATGGAAATGGATTTCTGGAGAAGAAGCTGTGGCATATCCAGAATCGAGCGGATCCCAAACGCAGCTATTAGAGACAAGGTCGGATGTCAAAAGAACATCCTTCACCTGATCGGGACCAGACGGCTAAAGTGGTATGGCCACTTAATGCGGATGGATGAGAACCGCTGGCCAAAGAAAATTTATAACTATATGCCACCTGAAAGAAGGAAGCGTGGAAGGTCAAAGAAGAAATGGACAGAGGACGTGGAGGAAAGCATGGCAGCCAGAGGGCTTCGTGAAGGAGATTGGATGGACAGGGAGCAGTGGCTTTTGGGTGTTGGGGATATGACTCCTTAAGTTGTATAAAACCCAAATAAATAATAAATAAAGATATTTTTATCCATATGTAAAAGAGTTCAATTAGTCCACTCTAGTCGACTTTACCCGAGCTTTAACACCTCGGAATATGACGCATCAATCTAATCTCCACAAAAAAGTGCAAAGAAGTTTTCACTTCAAAAATAATGTGTCCCTTCAGTTTTGTGCCTCTTATATGTCACAAACGTTTTTCCAGTTAATTGTATGCTCCGGTGTATAGGTTTATTTTTTTCATCTTAAATTGTTAATATATTCGAGTATTGTATGAGCCTTTTAGTTGACAGAAAGACTAATTCCAATTTGAAAATTTTAGCGATATTATCTAATTGAAAAAAATATTAGTTGGTTTCATTTGCAAACGTTAATTATTTTTTTAATATTTTTTTCTTTGTTAACATTTTTTCGTTTACCTTGTTTGGTTTTATGACTACATTTTATTTAACCATGATAAGAGTTTTTTATTTCAGTCATAGTTTACCCATAATGAAGAAGTGTATAAGGTGAAATTATTTAAAATTGTATATTGTAAACATTATATTCTAATGTAATAAAATTGAAAAAGAAATTATGCCCAATAAATGCATGCTTCTTCTGTTGATATTAACCAATTCAACATAGCCATAATACATTACCAAAAATATAAAGAAAACTTTTAAATAGCCATAGGACATGTCCTGTTGAAAAAATAATTATTGACACAGCTGATATTAGAATAAATTAACTGCATCTGCTGGATTCGAACCTAAACGTAGGGGTTAAACCATCGACCAATCCACTCTCTGAATATTGAGAATGATATAGCTAAATTAATTATTGACTCTCTAAGACACATTTTGTGTTCATTTACTGGTATAAACTAAAACATTTTTGTTTCCTTTTAATTCGTAATTTCCTGAAATGATACCATATACATTTTCTTCGATCAACCGATTATTCCGCAGATTTTAAGAAAATTTCACTTTTTCATTAAAATTTGGAATGAATTATTTATTCATGTCCTTAGTCAAAGATGCTTTAATGATGGTTTTCACTTACAGGTGATCTGGGTATGTATACTTTGCCGAAAGAAGCAAGAATTGCTGAGCAAGACTGGACAATGGATCAACAAGGGGATGACGGGTACCGACTCGGCAGTGATGCGGAGGATAGAGGCGGACATGTCTCTGATGGACAAGCGGCCGAAGTTAGAGCGGGCACACTCAGCCGCGGAGAAGGAGAACCAGCCACTAACTAGGTCGGGAAGTTCCTTGAGGCGGCAATATTCTCAGCAAGACGCTCAAGCCAAAGAGGAAGAACTCAGGTAACTGTAATTAATATATTTCCTGATATCTATATAACAGGTAATGTAACTTACCTTGCGCCTTTTGTCCCAAAACTTAAAAATTACAAAACCATTATCCTGTCTGTGGTTCTTTATGGATGCGAAACGTGGCCGCTTACATTAAGGGGTGAGTAACGTCTTAAGGTTTTCGAAAATAAAGTATTTTGTAGAATATTCGGACCAAAGAAGGATGAGTTTATATGGTTACAAAATGTCAAATTGCGTGAACTGTACACAGTTAATATAATCAAGGTGTTTACATTGCGGCCTGTAAAATTGTTGCGTCCAATTTATAGTCCCTAAAATGTTATGGAAGACCCCGAAGAAAGTACTTCGATACCATCAAATTAGAAGACTTTATCTTGTATCTTCTATGTGAATGTTTATGAGGCATCTCATCAACCGAAATCTTAGATACATGATGCATTCATTTTATGTATTGTTTTCACCTTATTTTTAATATAAATATTGTCAATGTTATAGGTGTTGTATTTTTTATAACATGATATGATTTTCCCTTAATTATTTTTATTATTTTATTTTCCATTAAATTTTCCAATGCATTGTAACGCATCGTAAATGTTTTGGCGTTTATTCTATCTTCTTGTATTCTTGATACTTGCTTAACTTGTCAGCAGAAGATCTCTAGGCCAGATCGTTGAGGCTCATCAGGTAACAGGGAGGAAGATAGAAATAGAACAAGTGGGTTTGGATGATTGAGAGTAGAGGAATGAAATGTTGTGTACTTGTTATGTATGTCGGATTTTACTTTTGGTATGTTCATGTCTGTGTGTATGGTGTGATTTGAAATAAACCAAGGAGCATTGACGATTTTACGAAGTATTTTGGATTTTATGGTTTGAACTTTGTTAATGTGTGTATGTATGTTTTGCGGAACCCTAAAGTTCTGTCCAAATAGGTCTTAGTATGGTAGTGTAGATTAGTCGCTTGTTTAGTAAGTTGAGTGGAGATCTGTAGTCCGAAAGATGTGACAGTTGTTTGTATCGTCTGGTTTTTTTTTTTAATTTAGTGTTAATGTTGCAGGTGAGTTTTTTGTCCAAGTATAGTCCGAGGTACCGTACATGTGTTTTTGAGGGAACTGGCTTATTGTCTATTGTCACAACGGGACACGAGATCTTCCTCAGCGAGAAGCTAACATGAGTTGTCTTACTGGCATTGATTTTAATTCTCCATTTATGAAACCATTTTTCAAGATCGTGGAGGTGATTTCGAAGGGCTCAGTTATAAATTGAAAATTCATTAAATGAACGAAAGGAGTCATTATGGCTTCTTGTGTTGCCAGTCGTTTTCATGCTGCAGTTTTTCTAGGTAGAGATTTTTCGGGTTCTCCTCATCTGCATTCAGGAATGGGTTCAGGATTTAATTGAGGAGTATATTTTTTATACTTATTAAAAAAAGAGAAACACTACATGAAATGGCGTTTGAGTAAGCCTAAGAAGCCAAAAAAAAAAGGTGATTCAATCACTTTCGTAGATCCGCCCGTGCTCTCATGTTAAATTACCTGCTTTGAGATTTCTAGTAATCTTTACTATGATAATTCTTGTTCTCACCCTGCGATTACGCTATATATTTTAGTTTACTTTTCTTATTGACAGGTTTTATAGAGGCGAGATAGAAGGGCTGATGCGTTCGCAAGGCTATCCTCCACAGCAACCCGAATATCGGAACGACTCTTTCAGTTCGGAGCAGTCTTCGTCGATGGAAGTGAGCGGCGGTAAGAAGCACCGGCGAGCGGCAGCGACGTCCAAGAAGAGCGGCCCCCCGCCGCAGCGCTCCTTCTCCAGCTCCGACGACGAACTCCGCTCCACCCCGGAGTGCACGAGCTGCGAGGAACACGAAACAGAGAAAGGTGAGCAATCCAACAAGCAAGCCTACAATAACTGCCTCTTATAACCTAAACCCCAACACTTAAATTAACCTTATTCATCTGACAACTATGCTCTGTTGGTATACGGGGTCTGACCTTATCTTCTCGATCCCCAGGTGATCCGGGAAGCTACCAGCTCGATAAGCAAGCCATCTTAGATGAAAAAATAAAAAAGTTTCTGGCGGTGAGCCTCTTAAAATATATGATATTACAAGTTTCTTTTTTTCAGTGTTGCTCTCCGGTGTTGGAGCTTGGTTGTGTGCATGATCCTCTGGAATCCAGATTTCTTAATCTGTGTCGTCCTCTACCGCCTGTACATAGATTTTATTTCATTTATTTCAATAGCCTTCCACTGTTATTAACTTCTTTTTTTATTTCTTATTTATTTTATTTTTGTAGTTTCTATTTTTTGTTTAATTGAACAGTGTGGAATATAATTTACAGTTACTTTTATTCTGTGTGTAGCTTAGAAAACTACCAGTAAGAACATTTGTTTTAATTACATTTTATTTGCTGCACCTGTCTTCTAAATTTTCATTCATATATGATTAGCGACGTTTATTATCTGCTTCATGGGTGAAATTAGTACAATAGCATTGAGATAGATATTAGTTCAGGCATAGTTTTGTTTTGAAATTATCTTAGATCTTTCATAGCATTTATTATAATAATTGATATGCATTTGATTCGATATTTTAAAAAAAAATCTGCTACTGGTATAACTGTTTGCATTAAAAACCTGTTACTGTTATACAATTATATTGATGACTAAAATATATTATTAAAATATTAATAATGTTTGAATGTAACAATTATTTAAAAGTATTGCTAAAGATAAAATATACCAAACTAATCAGTATGGATTTGAAATATATAAGTATATGATAGAAGAGCTTTAGGTCGATTTTAACGATTTCGTCTTAGTGTGCATCTCCGCAGGGCTCCGATTAGTTTCACACTCATCGGTGGCCAAAACACTGTGAACCCATAAAAAGAAAAAACGTGGCGTGTGCAGAGACTAATGGCTGAAAATGCGTTTTTCGGACTTGATGCGGTGACAACCACTTATTAAGAGATTAATCCGATTATTTTTCCTTTACTATTGGTTAGAAAGTAATAATCGATTCACCTGTTTAGGACTTCTGCTGAGCAAACTTAACTTCAACAGAAAATGACCCATTGGGAATTTGTTTTTTATCTCTTGAGAAACTGTATAACTATCCATATTAACTGATGTCGTGATATCAATATATTTGTTTAAACAACTTGTCCAACAAGTTTTGAGGGTATAGTTCTTGGTATTATTAATGAGCAGTTCGAGGAGCCGTGGTTGTAGAACTTCGTGTGTATAATCATCTGAACTTAAGTTTGAACAAAATTCGAGATTATCCTCAAATCACTAAAAATATCATGTTACAAGAGAAACCTAGTTACAAATTATAAATAAAATAAAAGTCCAGCTTCCTCGCAACCGTAGGTACTTAGGTATAGGTTAGGTATTTTTCGTACTGGATCCAACATTTCCACTCGTCTTACGTTTTGTACATCAAGAAACAAATATGGTTCCGTTTCTGTCTATAAAGAAATCCATGCGACGGGCATATCATTTAATATTATCAATCCAATTTTTATCAAATTTTCAGAAATTGTACGGGTTACCTTGATGGTCCCTTATAAATTTCAACAATTCCATCCACCATTGCCCCTTGCAGATGCGCAATCTTATTATGATACGCCTATATATAAAAAATGGCTGGTCCAAATTGCCTCAAAGTTGGGAGAAAGTTATGTATCCGTTATATTTATACTGATACAGTTATATGTATCAGTTAGATATCGATATTAATAACGGACTATAGCTATCGATACCATCAAAATATCGGACTTGAAGTTTCGATAGTTTATAAATGTCAATATTATAAACATTTTTGAAATATGAATATCAATATAAATATGTATTCTCTAGCACATAGATGCATAAAAAAATATGTTGTTATCCACTTTAAGTTAATTATTGGAAATATCAATTCTTCTACCCTCCTTAGTAAAATTAGTTTTCTGGTTTCTGTCATCTTCGTCATCCTAAGCTTTTCCCAGAAACTTCCATTCAACCAATTACGCCTTCCATTCACCCATAGATCGGATTTAGCTGAATGCTAATTTATTTAAATCCTATATAGATTTCTTTGACAATGCGTGGCCTTGGTTTGAGAAGGTTCTAACTAACAAATTTGGCCATATTGAGTTTACTAAGTGAGGAGGGTCCTTTGCGCGCAATTCAACTTAGGAATGGCCATCGATATTCGATATTATCGAAATATCGATATTTTCCTCTACTACACCTATAATCTATATAAACAAGGCAAGATGAGTATATATTTTTTTCTAACGACCAGATTGATATATAATTGCTAGCGCTTTCCGAAAACGATAGTTTTAATTTTTATATTTAAATTAAAATATCTATTATAGATAATGTCGAAGTAGACACTATCCATGGTAAAATATCGAATATCGGAAGGAAAATATATATATTTTGACAATATCGACTATATATGGCCATCCCTAGCATCAATGACGAAATTATCCTGTAGAAAGTTTATATTTTATCCTTTAGTTTGATTTACGGATGCGCAAAAATATATTCTTGTTTGGCCCAAAATTGGAGGAACTTTAGTAAATAATATACAAATATCCTGGTATAAATTCCCATTTAACAATTAAAACTAATGTGATTGTTAAGGATATAATAAACTTTGGAAGAACTATTGAGATACGTTGGCTTTAAAATTTGCTAAATTATCAAAACAAAAAAAATCTTAAAATTAGTTTCGTTTAAGAACTTTTTTGTGATTTATCAATGTTATTTATTGAGAAAAATATGAAATAAATTACTTTTGTTTAGCAGTTTTTTTTTTCAAAATGGCGGTAAACGAAAAAGAGATAACGCAAGATCGAAGTTAAACTTTTTATGAACTGATCATGCATTTCTGAAAAACAAAATTACTCCGCTTTTTGCTATCTAATCATGCTCTCTGGATCAAGTTAAATTCAAATTTTCGACTTGAAATCGTCGGCTATCAAGTAACTGATGGTCATTGAAACCATGAGGATTTTTAGAATAGAATAGAATAGAAAATAATTTTATTCTGGGACCTAGTCCCTTCAGAATAATAAAAAAGTACAGAAATTAAAATTTTACATCTGGCCAGATAAAAATAAACATAAAAAGTTAAGATAAATCAGTAAAAAAAACAAAAAAATATTTTAGTACATTAAATAATTCGTTCTATATCTAAAAGTGGGCCTTACCAATAAGTTTGTTCACCCGCTTAATATAACTCAAACAAGAGGTTTGTTTATATCTTGAGCTATCTCGTGGAGTTCGTATAACGCTTTAAAAACATCAGTAACATTAATCACGATGCGAGAAGATAGATATGTTGTATAATAAGAAAGAAGATAAACAATTCAAGAAAATGGTACATTTACTTTGCATCAAATGAGTTAGCTCTGATTGTATGATATATTATATGTAAAAGATAGCTATTCATATATCTGAATTCTCGATCTCAATACATCCCGGATCTTTTGAAATAATTGTAAAATCACAATTATTTTTATTTTATTCCGTCAATGTTGAACCAAAGACTCAGTTGGAAGGAAGTTTACTTGTTCTCCATTTTATATCCAGGAGATATTAAGTTTTTAATCTATAATTCCCAATTAAAATCAGGAAAAATTATATGTATAAGGATAAAGGATAAGTGTAAGAAAGAACGGAGGTCGTAAAAAAAATTTAAGTATGCATAATCGTCCCTTTAACTCTACCTGAATGTTCCGTCAAAAAAGGAATACTTTTATGAAATTCAATGAAAAAGAAATCCTTTCAGAGAATTTATTGCAGCGACCTTACATTGTCTCATAAATATTGGCGGTAATACACGTTAAAATATCGATTTATCATCGAGTAAGTAAAGGAGGCATCGGGTTTCAATTTACAATAACGCTATCGTTTAATAGAGGTCTCAGCAATCAAATTTGCTGAAAGAAGTCCTTTTTCATGAAGTTTCATAAAAACATTCACTTTGTATGGAAAGTTTAAGTAAAGGTTAAAGGAACGACTGTACATACCACCCTTAAGCGGACCCTACATGATCAGTCATGAATGACTATCACAAGACTGACAATGATCGCTTCAATCATGATGAACTCTCCCCGTATCAATCAGACTGATGCCATTTTAGCTCTGTTGACGTTGAGATAATAAACAGTGCGGATTTAGTCATTGTCTATTAATAATAATATGTTTCATTAAAAAAGCTTATTTGGTCCATTATCTCTTATAGCGTTGGACATCAAGAGAAAAATGGAAAAATATAAGTCAACTGCTTACAAAAAATAATTGAAAAATATTGCGAACACAATGAACGTGTCGAGAAAAAAGGAAAAAGAACTGAAATATATAAACAACAGTTAAAGATTAAATTTTTCTATTTGTATATTGTGTAGTTTCTCATTTTTTTTTTATTTATCGTCCACTTGACTATTTAATAAAAAATAGTTGAAGATCGTTTATAAAAATATAAACTAGGGATATGAAGAACTATTTATTTTAAATGAAAGTCAGTAATGTACAATGCATATGAGACCAAGGTAAACTAACCTTCCTAGTTGCAGTTGGGCAAATTCTACTCTTGAGTACTGAGTCCCAAGTATTTTACCAATGAATTTAATCACTACTTCAGTTGATGTCAAACGATTAACTGAAGTAGTGATTAAATTTCCAATAGTGATTCAATTTGAGTAAAATACTTTGTACCCGGTACTCAGAGTAGCATTTGCTTATTTCTTACTACTAGGTTAGAAGTAGGGTTAAAGTTAATCTCCCCACCACTTATCTTGATTAAAGATTTCCGAAAATCCGTCAGTCGCGTCAATCAATCTTAACATTACAATCAGAATTTCAAAAGTGCCTGGGAATGTTATTACGACTGACCCTGTAGGATACGCTTTATTGTCCTAATTTGCGAAAAGCAACATTTAATAGACACTTCCAATTGAAAGTTGGTTAAAGATTCGGATACATTTCCTTTTGCCACATTTCCTTAATATTTCTTCTCCCTACTTGCTATGGCCGGTTTCTTAAATAAAATGCTTTAGGTTGCTTGATTCTAAAAAAGG